CTTACATGTATCGGGTGAAACCGCGTCACTTAATGTGTGTGATTATACGTAAGAGGAAGGTTTGTGGCAACTACGCGAGCGGTGCGGGCGAAACCTGCGCGCGCGCACCTCGGGGGAAACCCCAGCGCAGGCGCAGACGCGGGCGGAAACTGGTGTTAGAAATATACAATAATACATGCTGTTGGTTGGTTTATTTTAAGAAGTAGCGGTGCGGTGTGTCTTTTTAATTATTTTTGAAAGAAGATTAAATAATTAAAAGGACGTGTACGATGTATTAATGCGATCGAAAAATAGAATAGGCTATCAGTCCTTAGTTCTTTTTTGAGGGGAATATGACATAATAAGGCCAAAACGATTGTTCCGCTGCATATTTTCACCCTTTCGTGCGATAATGTTTTAATTATCCCCATCACACAGAACCAGGCCCGAGCGTACGGCGCGTAGCGTTCCGCGCGCGCCTCAAAGTGCCAATAGACCACCACAGACGGGACCCTACCCGGTTGCGGGGTAAGCGCAATGAGGCACCGCGACCTCGGCCCAGAGCAGGAGAAGGAACAGGGGGGTTTAGTCTTTAGGTTGTGTTTCGCTGTGTGAGTGAGGTTACCGGAGGCCCAATCCTTCCTCAATACCCAAATCTCCAAATCCCTAATCCCTAAAAGGTCGGCAACGCACTCGTAACTCCTCCGTTGCGGGTGTCCATGGGCGGCGCTGATTGCTTACCATCAGGTAATCCGTCTGCTCGTTTGTCGACCTTATTACATAAAAAAAAGGAGTCTGACATTCCCTCTCACCATACCCGGCGACAGAAATTATTTGATGATTTTTCCCTCACAAAAAGTACCTAACGATTGTTTTGTTCTATTTCAAGTTGTGTCACTCCAAACTTGTAGATTAGTCATCTGCATGTTAACAGATTGGAAGATATAGTGGCGGGTTTAACCAAATAGCTATAATTTTATACTTTGACTTATTTTGTTATTATTTTTTTTAAGTTAACAACTTGGTTCTCCGAAGGCCCCACAATAAAACTACGCTCGCGGTTAGTTTATGGATTTGTGGTTATTTTGCTACCGCATGTTGCTTGGTGATTGTTGTGGTGACACCCGTTTCTCATACATGAGGGTGCGGGTTCAAAACCTGGCAAGTACCAATGTGACTTTTTCCCAGTTATATGTTTTTTCTATGATTATTTAGACACCACACCATTGACATACGGTGAAGGTAAACATCGTGAGGAAACCTGGACTAGTAATTACTAATTATAAGTTTGATATCTATACTAATATTATAAGTAAGTTTGTATGTAGGGGGTAATCTTTAGAACCGCTGGTCGGATTTCCAAAATTCTTTCACTGATAGATATTACAATGTTCCTGAGTGCTATAGGCTATAAAACATCACACTACGACTAAATGCAAGCAGCGAGTGCGAGAGTAGCTAGTTCCTTATAAGAACCTACACGAGGCCGACAACGCACTTGTAGTAACTCCTTGGGTATTGCGAGAGTCCACGGGCGGCGCAGATTGCTTACCATCAAGTAATCCGCCAGCTCGAGCGCCGACAATAGCCTATGTTAGGTACTCGTGAATAATGTAGCTTCCGGATGGTGAATTTAAAAATCGGTCCAGTAGTTTTTGAGCTTATTCATTGCAAACAAACGAACAAAGTTTTTCTCTTCATAATATTAGGTAACCTGTAGTTGCAAACCTGCTCTATGTTGAATTTTAAATAATGTACATATTAAAGTATATTATATAAATAAATTAGTGTTGACTATAGATGTACATAAATGTATCAATATCATTTTTGCACAATCGTTTCTAAACGACCCTGGGGAAGTGTAGACTAATACGAACATAGTTGGGGACGGTCAGGAGAGTTTTAGACATTATACAAGACTAATTTCTGCCAGCTAATAATAATAAGACTTGTAGGATAATATTAATTAGTTAATCAATGATCAGAGGGCACGATAAATCGTGCCATAAGCCCCTTTTTTAGAGAGGAAAATCATCAAATGATTTTTAACGCTACGCGCCGTACGCTCGGGTCTGGTACTGGTTCCCTTACTCGTAGGCGTTTGACCCGCGATCATTGGCCATGTTCGGCCCCATCCGTGGTGGCCTATTGGCTCTTTAAGGCAGCTCGCGATCACTTCAGTCTGATTTTCAATTAAGTCCCTAAGTCCCCATGGATTGGGTGGTATGATCGCTGTTAGGCTGTGTCCTCAAATCCGGCAATCGAAAGTACCTGATCGACCTCACCTGATCTGATCACCGCCTTAGTAAGTCTGTAGTGAATTCCACAGTGTTTTCCATATGCTCTTATTTCCCTGAGGACATGGTGGTGCCCAGCCCATACAGGGCACATCGCCACCATGTACTCGACCGAGTTCTCCAACTAGTCCTCACAATGATGATCCGACACAGGAACCAACCAAAACTGCTGTGCTCAGTAAGTACCTGCGTCAGGCGGAAAGTAAGAACGCCATGGCGTCTCCCAAGCTAATCCTCAAAGAGGGGTCTCACCGCTGCTGTAAAAGCTTGGCTGTGTTTCCCATATGCTGGCTTATAAGTACTATCATGTTACAATCTGTGTTCATTACTCTGCACCAAGTTAATTCAGGCATCATATTTTCCTTAACTACAAGTGTATAAGCTTAAAGTGCGATGCCCTCTCTCACACGCGTGTGTGTGTGTGTGTGTGATATGACGTTGGAAGACACTCTCTATAGCTACACTGACGCGTTGTGACGTCCGTGTGACGAATAATATCAAAATTATTAGTTTTGTAATCGCCATTTCTCCTTGGACGGGATTGATTAAATGTTATGATGATGATGATGATGTATGTATAAATAAAAGATACTAATTAATAGGAATACTATTTCAAAAAAGACTAAGGTAAGAATGTTTCTTAACCCGTTGAATGTCGGTTTATAAGACACAATAGAAAATATATTGTGTCTCGCGTGGATCCACGTTTAAGACATACGAAAGGTTAATAAAAATATGCCTATACTAGCTACTCTGGCGCGGTTTCACCCGCTGCTTGGTGCCTTTTAATCTAGCGTGATGTTCTATAGCCTATATATAGCACTCAGGAATATTGTAGCTATCAATTAGTGAAATATTATTAATATTTGGAAATCCGACCAGCGGTTCCGAAGATTACCCCCTACATACAAACTTACAAATTTTACCTCTTTATAATAATTTAGTATAGATAAACATATCCATGAGTAAAATTATCCTTAAGTACCTACTTAAAAACGCAATGCATAAAAAAATAAAAATGAATTAAGTTAGAAAGAAAGAGAAAGAAAACACATTTATTCGACAAATAGGCACACAAATACAAGTATATAAAAATACATAATAAGAACACAGTATTTATGAATACAATAATAAATTAATAAACAAAAAAAGAATAACATACAAAGTATTAAAAAAGAAAAAAAAACGCTAAAATAATAACATTCATGTGCCCATGCCAAAAGGGCCTCCACCTCAGCATATAGTTGAGCAAATATGCTCAACGCTGATTTTCAGGTGGCACCCTGCACTGACTCACGTCACGGACGGCGGCACCGCCACTCAGTAAAGAAAAGAAGTAAGAAACATAATGTGAATATAGAAGAAAGTGTGCGTGTGTGAAAATATTATCCAAATTATTCAGATATGAATACATTTTATATCATAATAAGTGAATACAATCTTTTTTTTAAATATGATACATAAGGGAGTTAATTGCTACATGTTCTTTTTTTAATTAACTGGGGGTTGTCGAAAAATGTTTTTGGCTATTTGTAGGTATACTAGACAGGTACTATTTAGTGACACCCGTGCTGAGCTCTCGTTCACTTTGTCGCGTACCCCCTCAAGGATACAGTTGCCCTCCACCAGCCACAGGACACAAAACTCAGGCAGCAAAGTTTACGAGTAGTGGAGTGATTGTAATAAAATAAATAAATAAAAGTAATGGCGAAGTGCAAGTAGTACAAACACCGTGATTACTCACACAAAAATGCAAAAACAAAAGTTCAAACACGAAGTAGTTACTTTACTGTAAACCGTTCAGGAGTTCCCTGTCCTTCGTTCTCATCATCAGACCTTTAATGAACCAGCCTGCTGCAAAGTACTCGCCAATACGAATCATTCAAGCCCAAACACAAGATCCCTCGACTGTCTTCCAGCTCCAACATCTGGTCGACTTCGACCTTCGTCAGTAGTGTTGATAAAGGCCTACTTAAAAATCATACAAATAATCTACTCGCCCCTACAATTTTCGAAAGTTCCCCTCGGTTTCTCCAGGATTCCATCATCAGATCCTGACCTCATGACAATGGGACCAAATGGCAAGTATACCCTATCGAACAAAAAAAAGAATTTTGCAAATCGGTCCAGGCGTCTTCGAGTAATCGGTGTACATACATAAAAAAAAATACGCGTCGAATTGAGAACCTCCTCCTTTTTTGAAGTCGGTTAATAAAAATGTATCTCCACTCCAATAATTATTATAGCACAGCATGTAGCTCGATCTTCAGCTCTTTATACACAAATGCGTGATGTTCAGCAAATAAGTTGGCTTTCTAGAAGAATAGTTTGGATCAAGAAGCCGAATTTACCTGATGGTAAGCAATTGATGCCGCCAAGGATACCAGATAAGTTAATTACAAATACATTGCCAACATAACTGAAAGATATTATAAAGGACTTCACTGCTCAGCTCCATTTGATTTTAGCGTGATGTTTTATATTTATCTATAGCACTCAGGAACATTGTAGCTATCAATCAATCAGTGAAAGAATGTTGGAAATCCGACCAGCGGTTCCGAAGATTACCCCCTACATACATACTTACAAATACCATTTTATAATATTAGTATAGATAGTCTCTAGTGATGTAATGATTACCCTAATCTTAAGACATATTTTTTTATGGTGTAGGTCCGTAAATGAGTAGACGGATTACCTGATGGTAAGCAATCATCACCAACCATGGACACCCGCTACGCCAAAGGAGTTGTGAGTGAGTTATAAGAACCGGATCAAAATCCGTTGCGTAGTTTTAAAGATTTAAGCGTACATAGGGATATAGGGACAGAGAAAGCGACTTTATTTTATACTATGTAGCAAATACCGTTACCCCTTTCGGGTATAAAGAGACATTGACGTTAAAATGACGTCATAAATAAGTGTTGCCAGTTGACAATATTCGCAACATTACGTAAGAGAGTTCGTTGACATTGTTCATATCGTCAGATGTTATTTAGCCAGTCGTATAACCACATCACGCCAAACTAGTGGGTCAAGATCAGCAGACCACGTGTTCCGTGACGTCGTTATAGCCTAATATATGGAATTATGGGCATTTATTAGCAATATTATTTATTATAATGGCAATAGACGGCACACGTTAATCCTTTGAATTGTGAAATATGCGAAACTAGCTTTCGTTTTTGATTTTGTTCATTCCAAAATGATATTTTGACCAAATTTTTGAAACAAGCTTCTTTTTTTATAAAAAAAACGTTGCCCTACATTAGGATTTTCTCTGGGTGCGTTTAAAAACATTCAATTTCACATACACTATACACCCAGACGCGGAACAACAATTTGTGGATCACACAAAGAATTGTTCCGTGCGGGAATCGAAACCCGCGACACGATACACGGCAGCTAGTTGCCCAGCCACCGCGCCAACCGTGCAGTCATGCTTCTTAACTGTTCATGTCTTGTCGTAATCGAATATTTCAAATTCAAACCTATTTATATCTGCCATAGTTGCGAGCGAAGCTGCCGCCAGCTTAGACCAGGAGAGGAAAATTGGTTTTAGTCAGTAAGTGTAGGAGAGCCATGCTTCGGCACGAATGGGTCTGTTCGACCGGAATGATACCACGGCCTCATAGAAAACCGGCGTGATACAAATACAGCGTTGTGTTTCACCGTGTGAATGAGTTTACTGGAGGCCCAAACCTTCCCCTCCAAAAAGATCTGGTCTACATCTACATACTTAGAAATTTATCAAAATCGGTTCAGTAGTTTAGGTGTAAAAACGTTACAAACATACACAACATTTTCGTATACATGTATACTTATTGTAATATGAAACTGTTATTCGTAGCCTTAATCCTCTGAACTACTTTGATGGTGACGATATTTATGTTTTTCCCGGCACAACTACACTGTTAGCGGGCAGTAGATATCACGCAGCCTGTGTGACTATCTTTTTTGATGTGATAGGACGGCGAACAAGACCACGAATATCCTGATGGTAAGCAAGCGGTTCCACACATGGACATCCGCAACAACAAAGCATTTAGGAGTGCGTTACCGGCCTTTCAGGGATAAGGGTTTCGAAGATTTAAGGATTGGAAAGAGATCGGGGAGAGGGACGGATTAAGCCTGCGCACTACAATACGGCATATACTTTTTTGTGAGGGGAAAATCATCAAATGACTTCTCCCGCTCAGGGCCGGGCGGGCGGGAGTGTCAGACTCTTACTGACTAAAAACCCCCCTGTTCCTTCTCCTGCTCTGGGCCGAGGTCGCGGTGCCTCATTGCGCTTACCCCGCAACCCCGGCTGAACATCAGACCTATAGGGCCCCGCCTGTGGTGGTCTATTGGCTCTTTGAGGCGCGAGCGGAATGCTACGCGCCGTACACTCGGGTCTTGTTCTGGTCGGGCGGTGAGTAGTTTAGGACGAAGCTGCGGTAGTTTATTGCGCTAGTCCAACAAGCCCGGCTGAACAACAGCCCTGCTGCGCCCTGTGTGGTGTGGTGTCTATTGGCTCTTTGAGGCGCGTGTCTTTGGAACATGTCAAGTTCTACTTGCGTGCTATTTTGACGGACGGATAGGACGTTGATTTCATAAATATTTGTCATCATAATGTGAACCGAAGCAATTGGCTTCTTCTGTTTTTGGATTAACCCTCGTGATATTCAGCTGGGGTTGCGTGGCAATATTGTATCGAAGCCTGGGAGCAAGACCTCTTGCGGAACGGGATGGGTTTTAGTCAGTAAGGGTCTGATACTCCTTTTCGCCCCGCCTAGCCTAGAAGGCATTTGATGATTTCCTCCTTCAAAAAGAGGGGGCCAATATTAATGAGCGGCATTGCAACAGATTTATTTGTATTGTTTTGTTGGTTCAGTTTTCTGATGTTCCAACCACACCAGTCTGCAGCTTTACCATGCCAAAGGTTGAACAAATGTTGCGTCCTCGAAGCCTAAAAGAAAGACAAAGTAAATTAACTAATTTCATATTACACTAGGGGCTCATTTTTTATGTTATTGGTCGGCAAACGAGCAGACGGATTACCTGATGGTAAGCAATCAGCGCCGCCCATGGACACCCGTTATACCAAAGCAGTTACTACAAGTGCGTTGCCGGCCTCTATTCGATCCTCAACCCCTATTGAGGATTGAGTAAGTTAGGGTAAGGTGGCGGAGGGAAGGATTGGTCCTGTAGTATTTGGCGAAACAAGACACAGCAAAGCGAACAGAGCAGGTCTGTTAACTGCCGTTAAAATAATAATAAACTCTCTTCTACTTTTATTTATATGATAACTCTCATGATACTTATTTAAATAATTACCTATAATAACGGCTGTCAGTTGTCTGCGCTTTGCTCACTGCGTGGTGGGTGGCTCGTAGCGTGCTATGAAATTAGTCTACTTACCTCGTCTTTCTTCTAGTCGCCTAGAATGTAGGACGTTACAATTTTTATAATTCCTACTTTTGGCATGTCAATGCTGAAGAGTGGTCTAGTAGGAATATCAGTATCGTTTTTATTTATGATACCTTTTATACTTAATTAAGTAAAATAGTGTAGATCGGTTACATAAACAACATTCGATTTTTAAAAACGGCACACTAATGCACACATGAACAATACGGTAGTTTCCAACTAGTCAAATTCAATACTTTTATCCAAACGTCAAAAACGATACTTTTCTATGAAATTTGTATGAAAAACTGGGCTGTGACGTCATAACATTTTTGCGTCAAATAGCTTAGGTACTTATTTCACAATAATTAGCTAAAAAAAAATAAAAATTGGAGTAGGTATCGATCGATCGATGAATAAAAGTATAGTTATTTTTCAATATTTTATAGTATTGAAACATCGAATTAATTTATTTTCGACCTAGGCAACTACCCAATTTGTATGATTAGACGTCAAAATGATGAAGATGGCATGATTCAATAATCGCGGGTAAAAAAGAGACAAATATGAAAAAGTGTGGCTAGTTAGCCACATTTTAATGTATCACTTGCTGAGCGCTGATGACCTATCTACACCTTTTCAATTATTATAATATCATTAAATAATTTGATACTCTTGAACTCCGCAGGTGCATTGTGAGCCTTTTAGTGATCAGGGGATTTAGGGATTGGAGTAGGATGGGAACAGGTCACGGATCGAAGCTTGGTGCTCCATAAAGCTTGATGTAACGATACAACGGAAACTTCCAACTGTAGCCACCTTTGAAGGGATTGAATTGGAGTTTCCTTAAAGCTTTACTTGTATACTAAATGCTTATTTTACATCCATTACTATTTTATTGATATTACAATATTTATTTATGCACACGTTGATGATCAGGTCGGACGAGGAAATACAACATTCTTTTCTTTTACAAGTGACAACACTATCTAGTGTATGCATGCGTCTGTTTTCAACGAATGCGAGGTTTCGGGTATCGGGTTTTTCTATTACATATTCCCGGAACATTAAGCAGACAATTTTTTAAAACTTGTCGTCCATGCAACGTCATGTATGTTTATTTTATTTAGATGAAAAAACACTATAATCAAATTAAAACGTTCTGAGAACTTTATGCCGGTTCTACGTCAAACGATGTCGTATTATAAACATATTTATACTTACCTGTATTATAGTTTATAGTATTTCCCCAAACGCCTACAAGACGAGGCGTCCGAGTTTGAGAACGTTTAATTAGAGTGAGCCGGAGTTCGCGCGCTCAGTCGTCGGCGCGTCGCCATTAGTGTCGCTAGTGTCGCGAGACATAGCGGTTGTCCGCTAAGTGCGCGCATGAAACCTCCGCGGTAAAAGCGCGCGAATTTGTGACAGTTACATTTTTTTAAATACAGTGACATGAAGGGCCAATGTAAGCGGTTTGTGAGCCAGAAAGGCAAAGCGTACGACATACATCCTAAGAAAAATAAGAAAGAGAAAGAGGATCAGGATGAAAACATTGGATTCTTTGCTTTGGTAAGTTTTTGTTGTTTGCGGCTAAAATTGTCGAGTCAACGTTTTAAATTATTTTTCGTATACGTTTTTTGTGTTCAGTTGTGTCGGGAAATTATGGTTGAATGTTTTTTTTTTCATACGGAATAACTGTAAATGTGTTTTGAAAATTATATTGCGGAAGAGGGTATCATCACACGCGCATCGCAAACAAATTTTGTGGTTGTGATCACTGATCACGCGTTTTATTTTGTAAATAGCTGTGTTAAACTTATACATACAATTAGGTATGTATGTATAATTTTTGTGTAAATTATCAAATAAATTGCTATGTATTTTTACCCGACTACGATAAACGTTTTTACCCGAAAAATAATTGGAAATATCTTCTAAAGTGTTTGTCTATCTACTTCAGGCTGCTTCTAAAAAACAATTTATTATTTCTACAACTCAAACAATTAACACAATAAGCTCCAATTTTTTTTACTATATCAATTCGGTAAGTATTTAAAATATCTTACTTAGACAAAACTACATTTTTTTTACGAATGCTTGAACAATATTTTGTGATGGAATAATGTTTCTGTTGGTATCACACGATTCAAATATTTAAACCAAAATATGATGTTTCGTAGGTAAATTAGAAAATAATTGGCTTGGTAGCGGCCAGTTGTGCTTATTTTTTTATTGCCAACCATTTTAAATAATATATCTATACCTACTTGTAACAATGAAAGTATTTATGTAGTTAGGTATATTCTGACTGGAACATTATTTAGCTATGATTTATAATTCGTTTCGTATTCAAATCTAATTGGTAATGACTGTATGCAGAGAATAATCAGTGGCCATTGTACATTAAGAGAAAACCATATCGGTTACACATGCAATGCAATCCATAAATCTACAAAAAAGGTTTACTCATTAAAAATAATACATTTTTTTTATGTAATTGGTCGGCAAACCAGCAGACGGATTACCTGACGGTAAGCAATCAGCGCCGCCCATGGACACCCGCAACGGAGGAGTTACGAGTGCGTTGCCGACCTTTTAGGGATTAGGGATTTGGAGATTTAGGGATTGAGGAGGGATTGGGGGCGGGGAAGGATTGGGCCTCCGGTAACCTCACTCACACAGCGAAACACAACGCTGTGGTTGTTTCACGCCGGTATTCTGTGAGGCCGTGGTACTTATCACTCCGGTCGAGCCGACCCATTCGTGCCGAAGCACACTAAACTTATAATATCTACATATGTTTAAACTAAAATTAAACAACTACCATCATACTTTAAAACTTTCGCGTTTCATATTTATATAGGTACAATGATATTAACACATTAGTACGCGGGTATTAACACGAAAAAATAATTATTTAAACACCTTGGTAGGTTTAACGTTTCGTTATAAGGGGGTAGATGAAAATATACCGCTCGAATGCAGGGAGCTGTGACATCGCATCCTCAGTCTGCTTGCGACCACGACCTGTGCAACCAGCTCGAAACGTCAAGCCTACCAAGGTATTTAAATAATAATTCCTTCGCGTTAATACCCGCGAAATTATGTATATGGTGTTGTAAATACCATCACATACCTTTAAGTAAATCTATTGCCACGAAGGGATATATTATACGAAATCGCCGATCCGCCTTAAGCGAGCGAGGTTCACCCAACTATTGATCACAAAGTATCAGATTAATCTTACCAATAATTTACTAAGTATCTGAATAGAATAGAACCGACTAAATGATGAAACAAAGAAATGAATAGTAAAAGTGATTGAAAAAGAGTAACCATGGAGTTTCTTGCTCGTTCTTCTCCATAGGAATCTACACTTTGGAACGAGCAAATAGCTTCACTAAAAGGACAGATCGACGGACTGACACACAAACTAAAACTTTTTGTTATTAAATTTTCTACAACTGTTGTTTCAATCCAGTCTATGAACAATTAAGCAATCTGTTCTGAAAACTCTGACAATACTTTGACCAAACCAAATCCTTGAGCATCCTCGTCAGTACTTGTCTCTTCAAGACAATAACACTATTTGGAACCTTTAGTTCGAGTTTATTGGTTGACCGCACGATTTCTAGCGTGGAGTACAGTGGAGTACTTACCAGGCGACCGCAAACCATCTGTTACACGAGTATTGGCCTTTTTTGAAGAGGTAATCGTTCAATAATTAAAATTAAATTAAAACTAAAATTTAAAAAAAAAAGTCAAACATGAGCTACTTTTAAAAAGTATATAATACAAAAAACTTAATCCGCATTGCGCTTGCTCCTAAATCCCAATTGAAGGGACATGCCCTGGAGACTAATTCTTAATTGTTACGTATTACTTACTCATCCAAACTAATATTATAAATGCGAAGATTAGCTCCATTTGATCGTAGCGTGATGTTTTATATCCTATAGCACTCAGGAACATTGTAGCTATCTATCAGTGAAAGAATTTTGGAAATCCGACCAGCGGTTCCAAAGATTACCCCCTACATACAAACTTACAAATTTTACCTCTTCATAATATTAGTATAGATTACTATACCTATTTTAAAACGTATAAAACTCACGCATAAAATTATAACATCATTGAATTGAAGAATAGTCAATTAATTGTCACCTTACTATCAACATATACATACATACGTACGTATATAAACAACATATACTTTCACTTTTTATCTTAACAAACAGACAGCCGGTTTGTCGGCGTACTCATACACGCTAGAAACATTATCGTTAATCGTTCTTTTCTATGGAATAAGTCGGCAGACGGCAGATTACCTGATGGTAAGCAATCCGGCAATAATGATCAATAATGATGAAACGATTATGATGATAAGTGTGGGAGAGCCATGCTTCGGCACGAATGGGTCGGCTCCACCGGAGTGATACCACGGCTTCACAGAAAACCGCGTGAATCAACCACAGCGTTGTGTTTCGTCGTGTGAGTGAGGTTACCGGAAGGCCATTCTTTCCCCTCCCTCAATCCCAAAATCTCCAAACCCCTAATCCCTAAAAGGTCGGTAACGCAGTCGTAACTCCTCCGTTGCGGGTGTCCATGGGCGGCGCTGATTACTTACCATCAGGTAATCCGTCTGCTCGTTTGGCGATCTGTTATATAAAAAAAAAAACATATGAATGAGTGACATCTATCCTACACTTCTAAAAGAGTTACGCCACGTGCCTGATGTATGTTTCCTAGGTCAAAAATAAATTAATTTCAATACAATTAAATATCGAAAAATAACTATACTATTTTATCATTTATTTGTACAGTTCAACTTGTTTTGCCGTGACCGGCGTACAAAATTATTTAAAAATATGTAATACTAGCTTTTGCCCGCGACTTTGTTCACGTGGAAAAGTTACTTCCTGCAGATTTTTGGAATAAAAACTATCCTATGTCCTTTCTCGAGTTCCAAACTATGTCTGTACTAAATTTCACAAAAATCGGCTCAGTAGTTTAGGCGTGAAGAAAAGACAGACAGACAGACAGACAGAGTTACTTTCGCATTTATAATATTAGTTAGGATTTATATAAAAAAAGAAAATATTCAATTCAATAAATGTCAATACAGCAAAAGTCAAAATAAAATTACAGTCATTACAGAAAACAGTGGAACTTCAATTACAGTCAATACAGAGAATAGTCAAAATTCAATAACAGACAAAATATTCAATATCCAAGTACAGTCAATATTGTAGGTATACATAGAAAATAATGAAAATTAAATAAATTCAATTCCAGTCAATTTCATTTATTCATCAATCGATCGAAACACTAAGTTTTAGACATCTTTTAGCAAATTATTAAGAAATAAGTAAGTTATTTGATGTAAAAATACTATGAAGTCACAAGTCAGTGTTTCATACAAATTTATACATAGAAAAGTATCTTTTTTGACATTTGGACAATAAAAGTATTGAATTTGACTAGATGGAAACTACCGTATTCTGCGATAGATGGCATTAGCTAAGCATAGTAACCAAAAAAAATGTGACAGGATGATATAATTATGACCAAAAAATTTAGCTAACTCCATGACCTCCTTGTTGGCCATTACAATGTCGATCACGTAGCTCAGTACTACATAATAAATATTACACCAAATCACTAGGTACTCGTGCAAACAGGATCTTCATAAAACATCTTATAACGTTCATCTCATTTAACTGAGATTTTTTTTAAGAAGTTACTATAAAATCCGGTTTAGTACTTATGTCAAAAAAGGGATATTATGGTTCGGCTTCCAAGGTCGCGGGTAGTGTTGCCACCTATTTTTTTGCAGTTAAAAAACATAGGTTATGAAAGGTAAGAAAAAAATAAGTACATGGGTTCAAGATAAAATACAATTTATTTTTCTTCATTTTTATATTTCACGACAATTTTTTTTTTTTTGCTTTTTTGCATTAAATAAGTATCTCTACTAAAACATCTTTACAGTCTTTATTTAAATTCAGAGGCGCTTTGTTTCTTTCATCTCGCCATCTCGCTGTTCATCACAGATTTTTCAAAATGCCAAAAAAATCAAACCATACAAAATAAAGTATTTTCGTATCCTTTATTGTTCTCATAAAGTATAGAGTACAATTATATGAAATAGAGTACAATAGTTTATTGTAAAGTACGGGTGGCAACCCTAGTTGCGGGGTGGACGCAATATGTCACCGCGACCTCGGCCTTAAGCAGGAGACTGAACAGGGGGGTTTTTAGTCAGTAAGAGTCTGACACTCTCACTCGCCTTACTTTAGGCGGGAGAAGTCATTTGACGGTTTTTCCCTGACAAAAAAAAATAGATGATTTAGACGGAGTGTTACCATAGCCTTAAAGAAACGCGGCGTAAAATTATGAACCATTAAATTTTCAACTATAACTATCAAAATATAATAAAATATCTTCAGCTTGTGGGTACCTTGATGTGCTGTCGTCCATTTAGAGCTTTCTGCGTGCGTCATATAACGGTGTACCAGCTGAACTAATATAATTAGTATAATAATTTTGCGAGTCGGTCAGCTGACAGCTTTCACACGCGGGCGGCCATCTTAGTGTATTGTGACGTCATTGCTGTGCCACTAACTCTGTTGTCTCACTCTACTTCCTCGTCTTGAAGTGGGACAGGGAGATGTTAGGTTAAAGTTCAGGTATTTGTGATTCCCCTGGTATTGCGTTTGAGCCGGGAACTATGTTGTAGGTAATCAGCACCGCCCATGGACACCCAAGCGACAACAGATGAGTTGTAAGCGTGTTGCCGACCTTTTGGGGATTAGGGTTTTGGAGATTTAGGGGTTGAGCATCCAGTAACCTCAATCACACGGCGTAAAACGACGGAATGGTAGTTTCCCGCCGATTTTCTGTGAGGCCGTGGTATCACTCTGGTCGAGCCGACCCATTCGTGCCGAAGCTTGGCTCTCCCACACTTAAAATAGACAAAAAAATTGTTAATAATATAAATATAAAAATAACAACAGATGTGGATGGTTTTTATGTAAAGCCGTGGTATCACTCCAAATCTGCAGAACCGATTATCAGTTAGAATAATTATTATAAATGGTTACTCAATGGCTTTCACCATAGCCCTTTATATTGTCCATTCAAACAAGATCTTCTCAAACAAAGTTATACAATAATTTTACGACAGATACATGAAAGTTTTTGGAAAAATTTAAATATTAAGATTGCTATGAATAGGTAATATATTTATTATGGTGATACAACGACGCGACGGCGACGTAACGAACCTGGGAATTTCCGCGTACCATTGACGGAATTTCAAAATATTTTTAAAATAAACTTTCCACGTTAATGAATGCGTTGTTATATTTTATATTCTATTGTACCGTAACTTTTTCTCCTGTGTCGGTCTGTTTCCAAACACACATATATACTAGCTACTCTCACGCGGTTTCACCCGCTGCTCGGCTCCTTTTGATCGTAGCGTGATGTTTTATACTCTATAGCACTCAGGAAGATTGTAGCTATCTATCAGTGAAAGAATTTTGGCAATACGACCAGCGTATACAAAGATTAACCCCCTACATACAAACTTACAAATTTTACATTAATTATGTAAAAATGAATCGCAAAATGTGTTTGTAATTGTAAGCGCATAACTCGAAAACACATGGACCAGTTTTGACAATTCTTTTTTTGTTGTATTTTTAAGGCGAACGGCTAATGTAACATAATCACAAAAAAATGGATTATACAATGAGAATTTCCATATGAAATTTTTTAGGTTATAACATAGGTTTTTTTTTATAAAAACATTGCCCTACACTCGGATTTTCTCCTGTATCTCGGATGCTTTTACAATAAATAGACGGATGTTTGTTACTCTTTCACGTAAATACTACTAAATGGCTTGGTTTAATTTTTGTTTGGCGTTCAAAAGTACCTGTAGTGATCTATTCATCAGTGGAATAAGTAACTGACTTTAAACTTACTCATTACGTAAAATCTATAATATTAATTATTACGACTGGAAAAATCTAGCATTAATACAATTTTGGTACAGATAACTTCTTTTTTCCTTTTTCTGCCAGTAAGGGAACCCATTCTCTATATTCTTTCTTTTAGGAAATAAGTCGGCAAACGATTAGACGGATTACCTGATGGTAAGCAATCAGCGCCGCCCATGGACACCTGCAACGGAGGAGTTACGAGTGCGTTGTCCGCATTTTGGGGATTACGGTTTCGGATATTTTAAGTATTGGGAAGTGATGAAACTTCAGTAACACGGCGAAACACAACGCTGTGGTTGTTTCACGCCGGTATTCTGTGAGGTTCTCCGCATTTTCCAGCGTTGATTGATTCTTGTTATTTTTTGTAAATCATTCTATTTTAAGTTCGACATTGTACTTGTATGTATCTATATACGTAAAAATAAATACCTAATACTGTCTGTCCGTCTGTCTCTATTTATCGCCTTTCACTGCGCACGCGCGCGTTTTGTCACAACCGGGAAGTGAACAGCGACCTCTGCTAATGTCAGATCGTGTTTGAATTTTTTTTCATTGTATTTTTGTTATGTTTATGTGAAATAGTTAAATGTGTATAGTTAACAATGTCAAGTTAATTTGTTGCCACGGTCAGTTACTTAAATGTTAACCGGAATTTTTTGGTTCAGCTATACACAATGGAATGAGACCTAGCTTTGAAAAATACAGTTAATAAGTTTAGTTGACAATGCTCACGTTATTTTTCGCCTTGTGATTGAGGTTACTGGAGATTTAAACCTTTCCCCCTATCCCCAAAACTCCTATCTTTAAATTCGTAACAAGTCTTTTTTTATAGATAGAACGGCTAACGATTAGGCACATAACCTGACGTGTTGCCGATTATTTGGAGATAAGGAGTGTGGAGATTTAGGGATTGGGGATGGACTGGGGAAGGGGAGGGTTTTGGGCCTCTGGTAACCTCACTTACACCGAGATACACAACGCTGTTGTTGTTTCACGCCGGTTTTCTGTGAGGCCGTGGTATCACTCCGGTCGAGCCGACCCATTCGTGCCGAAACATGGCTCTCCCACACTTAAAATAATTAATATGTACCTACGCTAGACAGAGACTTAAAAATCGTTTGGAATATTCATCGCATGGAATTCATAGCATACCTAATAGCTTGTGATAGACATATTGATTTATATTTAATGATAATATGATGACTTGATTAATTACAATATTGTGTGTCATCCATTTTAAAATGCATTCCTAAATTAGTCTATGATTTGCCAGTCAACTGCTGGACTGTAAGTTCAAAAAAAGGGGGTATGATATTATCTTTCAAAAAAATGAAATTGTAATTAGTTATTGCACGGTTCGTGCTGTGGCTGGTCAACTAGCTACCGCGTCACGATTCGGGTTCAATTCCCGCACAGAACAACTCTTT